TCAAGATATCTTTTGGAAAATATACAATTGTATGTTTATGTATTAAATGTATACAAGATGAGAATAAATTACAATACATAGAAGCCTTGTTCCAGATGAAGTAGTTCCAGGTTCAGCCATCGCCAGGTCGCTCAGGAGTCAACGCCCTCAATCAGCGTTTATTATCTGTAACAAGCAATACTTCTTAATTTCTCAAATCTACGAATTGATTCCTGAGCGACCTGTACGAAAAACCGTTAAACGTAACTTCCATCTTCCCTGGCATCCATCTTCGGTTTTTCGTAACGTCGCTTCGGTCCGTAACTAAAATAACTTCGATAAAACCGTCACATCAAAGGAGATGGTGTTATTAATCAATTTTATTCTGATTTGAATATAAAATCTTGGATATCTATGTTTGTTTATTTGGAACTACTAGTCAGGAAAAATATTTAAAATAAAGATATAACCAACGTGGATACATCACAAAGATTAGTTTTCATAGTGTAAACAGATATTGTTTTGGAAAAAAATCTATAGCAAAACAAAGATCAAAATGTATATATTTATCAAGAATTATCTCTCAAACATGCAGACAGACGGATCAGTTGTAACTTAGTTTTGAAGTCTGTAATAAAATCAGTCCTAAAGTGGGTCGTGCGTCATAGAACGACCTCAAAACAACATAGACGTAGCCTTCGCAGCGAGCGGTTTGACTTGGGGCTTGTTTACATACTTAGAACATTAATACATGAACATCTACCTAAAACTATAATAAAATACAAACATAATGTTCACTTATATTATGAATACGAATCTGTTTGTTATAACCTTATTAAATAACGCATTTTAATCTTACTTTTAAATCATCATATGTAATGTTACACTTATAAAAAAAGTTAAATTAATCATAACTTGGTCATCACAAATTGTATGGAAATTTATGAATGTGTAAAATTCTCGGTAGTCCCTCAACTTTTGGTTATATATAGCAATATAGGTTACATGCAGATTCATACATTTACATATGTAATGCATGACGGATGTAATTTCACATTTAAAAATTATGCAAAATTATGAATAAATTGAAGTGAGAAGGAGAAATGTTTATAATATATCAGCGAGTAAGACTGGAGAAAACAGCCTGTTTGTAGTGCATATTAAAATATATTACCAACCAATTACAGTGTCTAGACAAATTATTATTCAAGTAAAGCATTATAGATTGAACTCTATACGATTTAAAAATTGAAAAGTAATGAAACGTCTCACGATTATAAAGTAACACATACTTTTCAAGTAATTAAAAATGTTCACGTGGTCGTTTCAGAATATTTTAAACTTATTTCGACTTGAAAACACATTAATTTATACTTAATATAATTTTTTAGTTGACGTCATTATAACCCGTTATGCAAAACTAAAAATTACATAATAAGCCAAAACATCAGATCTTTAAAAACTATTAATTCTGTCATATAAATATTGATTTATTATTGAAAGGAACATCAACAATAGGTACGATTACGATTACGATCTAACGCATTATACAAACGACATAACGGATTATACAAAGAACATCAAACGCATTATACAAATGACATAACAGATTATACAAAGCGCATACAACAGATTATATAAAGAAGCAAAGCGTTATTCGAAGAACAAAAACGTATGCGATCGTTCACACAGTAATTACGACAATTTAGTAAAGCAACGATGACACTGTTAGTTGGAAATTGAAATCAATTTTATGTTGGACGCCATCCTGTTTTACGAGTATAACAAGCGACACGCTTGCAACGAGTGATTCGACACTTGCTCACACAACAGGGCTGGCGATTGGTTACATATTAACCATCCAATTAAATGACTAAACTTCACAAAAATTACGTAAAAATTATAAAAGTGTGAATCAATTTGTTTCTAAGAAAATATTTCAATGGAAATAATCTATGAATGGTACCATTGGCGCAGAAAAGTGAATTTGTAAACGTTATTTACATTCTTGATACATACGAATAATAAAGTAATTAAGTGCTTAAATACATGTAGCAATTTAAGCTAGCTGTTGGATAAAACTAACTGGGGAATATATAATGTCAGTGTATTTATCTACTATACTAGAGACACATTTGGAAAACACAAATGACGTTCAAATCTGCAAGACATATGTCTTTTAGGTAATACAAATAATAATGTAAGAAAGAAAGAATTATGTCATTAGCCTGCGGTCGTAGCGATTCATTTTTCTAAGAAATTCTTTAATATTAATGCAAATATATATTATCTCTGATTTCTAAATGATTGTTATACATGATTACCGTAACGACGGCCCTACAAAGCAACACATACATACACACACACACACACACACATCAAACCGGTCGATTGACGTCAATGGTGGGTGGGACAACTATAAAAAAAAATATAAAACAACCTACTATAGAAAACAACAAAGCCATAACAAGCCATTGTGTACTTTTCATCATTAATGAAGCAATCGAGTCTTTTTTTCTCTCAATACATTATAAATATCGCATTGAAATTTACTAGTACCTAGATTAACTAAAACAGACTTCAATTCACGAGCAGAACATTTTTTTCCTTACAAAATTACGTCATTGCTTTGATATACATACATACATATAAGCATGTTTTAACAAACCCGCTTATTGTGTTACAATATATGCTACCTAACAAAGCTGATGTGAGAAAAATTATAGTAAACAATACATTCGACTCGTCTTGAATTACAGGAATTGTTTATTATGATACTCTTAGAATTAATAAATAATAAACATATATATAATAATAATAAATATTAAACTTTTCAACCTTTAATGTTTTTTTTACATAATCTGTTTAGCAAACAAGGTAAAACAAATCAAATTTTAAAACCAGAATATACGACTCCGCAAAGAGTTTGAATCTCAAAAGTATTTACTAAATTAAAATATTTAAAAAAAGATAAAATTTTAAGGTCTAGTTCACATTGAATTAGTGTCCCATTTGACATTAGCAATAACATGGCGGCGGAAACGAACATCCGGCCTTAACGAAATGACAGGATTAATACTGATAATATATATTTTTTTTATTTTATCACGTTCTGTCATGGAAAAATACAATTTGAAGATATTTAAATTGTAGCTGAATAAAAAACTATTTATTAAGTTATGCAACCGATATTTAAAAAACGGACGAAATAAAAAAAATGGCAGTTGGTTAGTTCAAAGCGAGTTTTTTTGAGATCAAATATATAAACTTAAAAATTTGTGATACTATACAGTCATCGTCATAATACAACTCTTTAACACATGATCTGCGTAAAAAGGTTTGAGGTGTAAATTCAAGCCCAGGATCGATAGTAAAAAGTAAACATACTATAAAGCTAAAAGCCTTAAATATTTTTTCCGAAGATCCTATTGTTGTAAGATTATACAATAGTCCTTTCCTTTCCAAATTTTAATAAATAAAAAAAAACTACTTAATAATCACGAATTAATTACCACTTTCTTTTTAAAGTCAGTTAAAGATCAATTGTAATGAAATTTAAAAGAATAATAAACTCAGACAGTACATATAAAAAAATGTGTAGAATAATTTAAATTAAAACAAAGTTTAAAAAAGGACATGTATTCAATATTTTTTTAATTTCCTTATTTTATCACCTCATCTACAGTTTTGTTTAGATTCTTAAGATTGTAGTGATTATTATTTCTATATCCTTTTTAATATAAGTAGTTTACCAAGATAAAAACAGCACATAATAGGTAATATAAATTTGAAAACGATGTTATAACAAGACAAAGAAAGCAGAAGCGTAGAGATCAGACAAACTTTTAAAATACTAAAGCTTACAAAGTGAAGTAAAGCGTTATAAGATTCATATTACATTAAAATAAGTTATAATTTCAAAAAATTATAATTTTCTGAAATTTGTGGGTTTAATATGGCTTGTAAATGAAAAATATTGAATTTCCCTGTGTAATGATTTGCATCCATACTAAGAGAGCATCTTTACTGCATAATACAACATAAAAATTAGCTTCAACTACACATCTTAACACAATTTTTAAAGTTTAAACCTTAATTAATACCCTTTTAAAGATATATACATATATTACTTTCTATATTACTATCTCTGCAAAATTGTTACATATTTTTGCACGAATAGTAAAATATTACCAGTAACAATATCGATAATCTAATCATATATTAAAACAAAACAACGAATTTAATTAATATACACTTTAATTAACATATTTGCAATATTTTAATAAACATTTTAATTGACAGTACAATACATTGACGTCAATAGGCGTGATAAAATAAAATCAGGAAAATAATTAATTCTAATGATCTCAACGTGTTTATTTTTGTGGTTAAAAATAATGTAAAATGATGAAAATCATATATGTATATGAAAATTATTTTCATTTATTTTGTAGTTTCAATAAATAAGAATTTTCAAATCACCAAGTCGTTAACTGAACATTACTCAGTACGACATATAACGATAGTAATTAAAATCAAAAAACTGACTAGACGTGGTTCTTTAGGTGGAATATAAATACCACCTTGTTTGAAACAACAGTTTATCGATCGATCAAATGTAAATTTGATGGATTTACCAATTCACCTCTAAATTTTAAATACGAATATTATAACAGAAAAGATTAATTCCCAGCCACCATTTTTTTTTCTGTTCAACCCTTAGTAAATAATTATCTTTTTAAATTAACTGTTTAGTCAAATATTGAGATCTAAGACATTCTCGAGTATTCATTTAAATTAAACTAATATTTTTCAGATAAACTACGCGTGCTTTATTTTTGTAAAAAACTTCATACTCCCAACGTTTTGGTTACTTTTCTAAAAGTTCACTTATTCTAAAAGTATGAAAGAATTACTTGAATACTCATAATATTATCTGCGACTTTATGTGTATGGAGATACATAGAATGAATTATCGGTTAAAAACATTGGCCACCCGCAACCTTAGAATTACAAATTTATTAATTCTTACCTGTATTATTTCAGTGAACATTAGAAATATTCTAAAATAAATAAATCAATTGCAAACACTCACCTTTTTTGGTAGAATAGGAGACTCGAACTCCTCGTCATCGCGGCTGGAGAGAGTAGAACACGATGAACAGGCTGAATCTGCTGAGAGGGATCTTGCCCGCAACCAATCAACCTCTTCTTGAGTAGCGCCCACAGCTACTCCATCTGAATAGTCACTCACAACAACGCTAGGGGTCCTCACACACCTGCCCCTGGTCTCGCATCCTTCGCTACCCCTTCTTCCCAACTCCACAACATTAGCCTCAATCAGAGTCCTCTCTCTCCTCGGGGACATAGCATCTGGTGGTGGAGTGATATCCCGAGGGTGTGAATGCCGTCTTCTCGGTTCCAGTTCGACAGCGGAGTCGTCGCTCAGATCCCTGCTGCGTCGCCTGACAGCGGCCCTGTCGTCATCATCCGATGAGGTGATGTCGTCGTGAGGGCTCGAGGATCGCGGCAGGCGCAGGTACTGCATCGGTCCTGGTTCAAAACGTCGCAATAACTCAGAAACTCTCGGCTGCGCATTTCTGAGGCGCGCGGTCGCCGGCGCACGCGCGTTGATACTGTCGCTCGCACGACGCGACTGGCTCTTCGCCCGTTCAGGGGCCACGCCGGCGCCTAGCTTGAGATAGAACAAGCTGTGGCTTAGAGCCTTCTCTCGCAGGACGCGACGAAAATCCTCCGGCGGCGGTTGTTCCAGACGAGGCATCCTGGAAACACTATAAATCATGATCTCTAAATAAATAAACGATACAGTTATCAAGATCTTATCATATCTTTATTTTAAATGCAATTACAATACGTTTCCATTATGATTGATGACTGATTATGATAATGATATTCAAATACATTGATTAGTATGTTGTAACCGCAACTCTGTTAGGGTAATGCAATATTTACATGTAACGAAGACAAACATAAACATGCACAAGGCGAGACTTCGTAAGGTATACTCTCCAGCAATTTGCGTCATATACTGATCAAACCATGATATCTGGATGACTGTAAATAAATAAAATGTCACAAACCTAGATCACTTTCTTATTTCTGATTACAATATCCTTGCCATACGATCTGAAACAACGTAAAAATTAATTTAGATTAAATATATTTTTCATTTATAACTGTATATATTTATAATAGAATTAACGAGCAACACATATAATCGGTACATAAAATTCTAAGTAAATTACGTAATTGGAGATGATTTAAACTTTCAAGTATTTTGTTTGTCAACGAGACGAAACAATGGGATGTCATGCAAGACTAATGCTCTCATTATACTTTACATCACACACAATACATAAATAAAATCTGTTGAATGCAAGTCACGTGGTAGAAAAGTACTACAATAAAACATTTAGTAAGCTTTAAACATATATATGTACAAAGTATACATATCTCTTTTCCTATATAACTGAACTAGTTATTTTTCCATTATAACAATGATATATTAATTTTTAATAAAAAATTCGACACGGAAACGTTCCTAGCTATTATCTAGCATGCGGTAGGAATGTCAATATCATATTAATGTAGATTTCCACTTTGTTTAAATTTATTGTTTGGCAAATGATTATACTTTAGATAACCTCATTAGGAATTCAACAGGATTATTGTTATTCATTTATATTTATTTATTCATAGCATTGTTAACAATATTATTGTTTTAATTAATAAATTTCAGCTAACATTTGGAAGGATCTGCTCAGAATAATACCTTCAGATGATCAGAGTGGAAATAATATTTAATTTTCCACAATAAAAATGAGACCAGTAAAACTTTAATACAATACGAAAGATTTGCTAATATCGTAGAATTAGATGTACATATAAAATAGGAATCTTTTATAAACTAATCACTATGCTTGTAAAACAAAAAAAAGTGTTATTTCTTCCGAAATTAACGAATAAAAACAAGCATTACTGGATTCAGTATCTAAACAAAATTACGATGTCTAGCTGAATGTAAGAAAAATATACTAAATTAATACAAAACATAACTAATATAGACTAAAGATAACTAACTAATAGTATAGATTAGTCAGTTATACCATTCACCATTGTTTTAAAGGGTTTTATATCACCCACGAGAACTAACGCTTACGTGGTTACAGCTATTGTCTTTATTAATAAATTGAAGTGCTCTTATAAAACTTGTTACATATCACTTATACATACTTGTAAACTAATACTATATATATTTATATATATAAAATTTCTTATATTTTCTTGACAATACCTCTCCAATTACTATACTTTGAGTTACTTATAAATATTTCAACTTTAACGAAGATAAATCGTTTTTAGTAATTCTTTCATTAGCTTAATATGAAATCAGTGTCGAAAATCTTTTTATACGTCATTAATATTTTAGTTTTTGTAGCTGTTTTTCTCGTAATATGTAATAAATCATTAGTTAGTTTGAATACTAAAAAATGAAAAGTGAGATAGTCACTATCATGGTTGGCGTTATTTGATGTTCCCGAGGTTATTTCAGGGCCATTTTATATAAAAATAAGTATAAATAAACTAGTAATAAGATAAAAATATACATTATACTTAATATTGCTTATAAACAAGTAAATTTTGAGTCAATTTATAGATATATTAAACAAATCTAAATAATAAGTTAAAAATACAACATTTTTTCCTCGACAAAAATGAGGACGCTTGCAATTAACGTCACAGAATTAATTTAACATTATAAGATATTGTATTATGATATCTATTAAAATTAATTATATATGTAAAGTATAATTTATTTCTCATGTATTTAAATTGACGCAATACTAAGAGAATCTTTAAGTATCGTATAGATAAGTATAGATGCTTCAAAATAGTCTTCTTATGGCTATAACACGTACATATAGGACAATTTTTTTATTAAAAACAAATTAATTGAATGTTAAATTCAGATACGGTTTTCGTTCATACTGGTACTATTTTCATTTCTGTGTGTTGTTTCAAAGCTAAATAAAATTAAAAATAACACTATTTTCTATAAGAATTATTCATGTTATTTTATAAAGTACTAAATACATATGTCTTAGACTTTATATATATTAACAAACGTATTTGAAAAATAATAATAATCATTCTTTCTTTAAATAGTTCTCATATTTAATACTTAAGTTCTTGAGATGATTGCAGACACACAAACATACAAGTTAAAACATTACTTTTGAAGTCATCCATAAAATTGGATCCAATAAAAAAGCCATAAAAATTTTCTACAACATGGAATCAAGGACCAGGAAGATATCCACCTACTAAATGACCTTCTTCAAAGATCCTATAGAACTGGGAACAAAGTAAAACTAACTTTATTTTATTCAAATACGGTATATTTTACATTAACGTCCATGCCATGTCCTCAAGCTCGAAATGATCCTACATGCATCAGTACATTGTAAAATGAAACTTATTACATAACTATACGATATATTTCACATTGCAGGGAGACCTCGAGCTGGTGACGTCAATGGCAGCCTTGCTGTAAGGGCATCTCATACTAAAATAGCTTTTTAGACAATTCCATATTATATTGCGATTGTCAATTCAACTCGTAATGCAGGTTTTTTTATACTAGTCCTTATCATATAGCAATTTATTAACATAAACGTTTTTATAGTGCTTATTAAAAGTACATTTTTCATTATCTTTTTTTCTATGTATGTTTTTTTGTTTTAATATAAAAACAATTAAGATGATTTATTTCAAACAAATTATTATTTATGAATAAAACGCTCGCAACTTATTTAAAATTTATTATATAGGTAAGTTATATTTTAAGTTTTACGAGCAATTATTTTGTCGCTTAAAACCCATATTTTTTTAATATTCTGACGTCATCCAGCAACGATATTAATAATTTATTTGTAATTAAAAATATAGTCATTAAAAATATCGCATTTCTAATGAGAAATGAGGAAAAATATATACAATAAAAGATAGCTTATTTTTTTACATTATAGTACCCAATGAAATCCTGTCTAATAATTTAAATTGATGCCATATTGCATAAAGTGTCAAATTTATGACAAAATATTTGTTAGCTTAATATACTTAATATAAAATTAACGTCATAAATAATTGTTTAAGAAACAGTTAATTTAGATAAATTTACAATTTATTACGACATAATTAGTAATTGTTTACTCTCAGTAGAAATTTACGTACATACTGAAAGTCAACACCAACTTTCTCAGTTCTACGCCACAGAATATAAATCTCATTTATTTATTTATACATTATCGCGATGTAGTGTTTAGTTAGATGATGCTTACTTATACGGAAAATAATGAACCAAGAAAATATATTAATGATATATTTGGTTATATTTATAAAAAAACAGAAAATTTAATGCCACAGAAACCTTTTCAAAACTTAACATTACCATGTATACGTATTGTAAGTCTGTTCGGAAATTTTGAAATTCGTAATACATCTCAGTTCAAAAAAGCTAAAAAGAAAATCAATTATCTAAATTTTCGATATAATCAGTTTGATTGTATTCTTTATTTAATAATACTATGTAATTTTATATTCATTTATAACTTTCAAAACGCATATGTCTTTTAGAATTTTGTTCACTTTTCGATGACAAATAGAAAAGGTATCAAACAATCTTATCTATTTGTATCCATTTTCATGTATCGGTATTTTTTAAAGTATTTAACTTACTTTTACTTAAAATAATACACTAAATTAAGAGAATCTGAACTATATAATTTAACAAGAAAAGAGAATCATGAGGAGTTTCCAGTTCTTAGTCCACCTATGAAGTACGTACTGTTTTAGTTAAAAGAAAATTGATTAGATACCAGCAGTACTATATAAAATTAAGTAACCAAAATAGTTAACACTATGAAACTAGCTAAAGAAGTTAAACGACTTAAATTGTATTCACGTCCAAACTCTCTTACTTTTAATATATTTTTTCTTTAATAACAAATAAAAGTAAGATTTGTTATTAACATTTCCTTTAATATTTATTTTAAACTGCCATATAATACTTAGTGGTAACTGACTCTAAAGAGTAATCTAAAGATTCATTTTTATATGTAATATTGATAATTTTAATACATTTTTTATTGATCCTTAATAATAAATAATATTTTACCTCGCAAGTCATCTGGAGTTGGTCTTAATTAATGTCTGTGCAAGGACACCGTTGGCGTGTCGGTGATAGTAATACTGATAAGACTAATTTACTGATAGCACCGTCACGAAATTGGGACAAGTGATATCCACATACTAGACCATCACTCATGAAGTTTACAAGATCTACATCTAGTAATAGTATATTATAACCCAGGCAATGAATTTTAATTGTTACGTCAAATGTTGCATTTGATTTTTTTTTCATTTAAAACAATGAGGTTCTATATTTTGAATGACTTCATTGTTGAAATTATACAGATTGGTAAGTTTGTTTGTGTTTGTAAAATATTTTAAAGTTCGTCTTTGTTTATTAAAATGTAAATAAGACTTAATTTATTTCACTTCCACATTCGACAATAACTGTGAATGTTGATGACTAAAAATATATATAATTTCATGTACTAACGGATATCGAATATTATAATAATGGAAATTTATATAATACATATACATAGAAAAAGTACTCTTCATACTCCAAGAGAAAAATATTTTAGAAGATGCAAAATTTAAATCAGAGAATTTATGACAACATTCTTTTAAATC